ATGGGCTCAGGGGGAGGGGTTTCGGCAGGCAGTGGGGTGCTCTCCTTACAGCGCCCCTGAGCTGGGACGCGAATATGATGAGAAGTGCAATGCTGCCTAGCCCCAGCCTGCCCAGTTTCAGCAGGCAGCAAGGTGCAAAGCTGACAAGCTTTGCACCACCCAGCTCAACCTCTCGGTGCTGTGAGGAGAGCGCCCCACTGCCTGCTGAAACTGGGCAGGCTGGGGGCTGGGCGGCATTGCGCAGGTAATGCTGACTCTCATGCTGCTCATGGCATCCCCTCTCCCAGAGCCCACCAAGCCAGATATGTGAAGTAGGTGAGGGCCATGTGCTGGCCACTTCTAGGTGATGGTGCATTTCTTCATTCCTCATGAAGGGTGACACCTCCCCAGCTATGTTTCTTGCCTGTTTTTCTCCCTCCCTCATCTCAAATATTTTCCCACCACTCTGTACTTAGGAAGGAAGGAAAGAAGGAAAGGAGAGGGAGGATCTGAGGGAAATCCTGCCTTAGTCTTGCTCTGCTGCCCTTTCACCATCCCCTTGCCCCCTCCTCCTGGCCTATCCTGGGGGTCTCCCATCCTATTGTTAAGGAAGCTTTGGATACAAAGCTGGGTCTCCTCCCATGGAAAGGGAATGGGCCTCCCTCTGACTTTGCCCTCGTACCCATAATGAGCAACCCGGGTAAGGAGAGCAAGCACAGCACCAGCAGTTTTGAGGAGGAAATAAGTGCAGCTGGGCACCCCCTTGGGGAAGTGGGGCTGGGCTTGGTGCCGTGGGTGCTTGAGGGCTAGGCTGGGCATTTGACCTCTGCTGCCCAGGGCTCCGGGCAGCCCATACCACCATCCAGTCCCCCTGCATGGCCTGAGAGGAATGGTGAGGCTCCTCCAGTGGACCATGCCTTAGCACTTGCCCTGGCCCCAGCCCCTTCTGCCAGAGACCCTCAGATCTGTCCCACTCCTGCCCAGGCCCCCACAGGCACCCTTGACGTGAACGATGTAGAGCTGGCCACGCCACCCAGTAGGCCACACCCACTCCATCCACGCCCACCCAGTAGGCTGCACCCACCCTGGCCACACACCCACAGCCCCCGAAGGGCAACTGCAATGCTGATGAGGCCCCCAATGAAATTGAGTTTGACACCCCTGCCCTAACAGAACTAGATGGACATGAATAATTGTTTTTAGCAGTTAGTTGATAATATCTCACTCTCTCACACACCCAGCATATTTTTGTCTGAAAAGCATGAATGTTTCCATAGCAGTAACAGACACTTTCTGTGAGGTATGTATATAAACTGTACCCCTTGGATATTGCTTCAGATTACAGTAATGCTACATTCATGTGTAAAAGAGAGGAATAGAATCATGCTATAATAATATATTATCATAATAATCTATTTAGTCAATATATGAAATTCTCATGTGAATTTCATATATTATTTATTTTTCCAAACTTTATTCTCCATTTGCAAAATGGAAATAGGGAATTCCTATTTGGAATTCTTATGGACTATATAATTTTTCACTTGCTTGCTAAGTTTACTCATCATGTTAAGCCATTGCATAATTTGGGTTGGTTCTGGCATAATGTATGAACTTAGCAATTATAGCTCAGTCTACAAACTACAAACTACCATTTAAATTGTGACATTGGCTTCTGTAATCAGTTTTATATCCTTTTACTCCTTTGAAAATAGATCTTTCGTCATGATAATAATATATAGAAACTTGATTTTACAGGGATTAAAATCAAATTTAGATGGATGTAGCAGGGGTCGGGTTTCATGCAACATATCAGCTTTTTCATCAACTTAGGTACTCTTGGGAAAATTTTGAACTTCACAATTTGCAAAATCACAAGCTCTCCCATTGCTAGCTGCATGAAAAGATCAGGCATGCACTTGGTGAGGGCCATGAAGTGCTGCATGTGGCTCAAGAAATGTTAGTCGAGTTGTTTCTCAAAGGAAGTTATTGCCAAACTAATTTGACAAATCTATTGGGGTGGGCCAGGATCTTTGGTAGCTATTACTTGACTTGGGAGATGCTGGAAGTTTCCACCACCACCACTCCCTGGAACAATCTCATCAAGAGCATCAATGTGATCCGTGGATATAGAATCATGGAACAAGATATAACTCTGCTACTTCCATTTTACCTAGCAAGAATGTCATGCACTATTCTGGTCTTATAGTGCTCTTCAGTGCATTAGCTCTTGCTACAGTTTGGGCAGCTGCTTCTCTTCTTTCAATGTGGCTGCTTGTCCTTTAGTATGCTTTCATTAGCTGAATGAAATAAAAACTAGATGTACAGCTTCCAACTCAGGGACCACTACTTTTTTTTAGCATACTCAAGATATTTTTAAGTGCCTGCTGTCTCAGCTTTTGCCTGGACAGCAGCATTAGCAAAACAATTACTTTTATATGAGGATTTCCCAGAATGGTAGGTGGATCTAGATGCTTGAGAATATGATGTTGAGCTATGGGAAAAGAGATAAAACTCTCTCGTCCTAATTCAAGTGACTGAAGAGATGACTGAAATCCTTGTTGCTGCTATACTTGTACTGATTGTACAATGCTTTTTACTCTTTCCCCTTTCCAAGTTAATCATCAGTCTTTGCTCAGCATGCTCACTTCTATGCCTTCTATAGGATCTCTAGTATTCGTGGTGGCTTTAATGTCAAGCTCAGCTTCTTTAAGTTGATCTGGCATTCTTTATTTCATCTGGTCCTTTCTTTTTATTAGTTTTTTTCCCTTATTCATTTCATATATTTTATGCAATGCATACTCAATAGTCATATATGTGTGTGTGTGTGTGTGTGTGTAGATCTTTGGTTATTCGGCTTTTCTCCCGCGTCAAATTGGAAGTGTCTTGGCGACATTTCGACGAAGTCTCATTTGTCATCTTCAGGCTGGTGCTTTCGGCTTTGTGCTTCTAGGAGAAATGTGTGATCGTAGCTGTTTCTTCCTTTTAACTGCCAGTGGGGTATGAACTGATTGGATGAGAGCTTGGCTGTGTTCTGATTGGATAGAGATGTGTTCTGATTGGTTAGGAGCTTGGCTGTGTTCTGAGTGGATGGGGGGTTGGCTGTGCTCTGATTGGTTGGGGGAGTATTCTTTTTGGGTGGGGGCTCTGTTGTGCTCAAGTTAATCTGAGTTGCAGAAGGATGTGAGATGGTGAGCATTGCTATTGTTTGGCTTCAGAACACACCTCCATCCAATCAGAACACAGCCAAGCTCCCATCCAATCAGTTTATACCCCCACTGGCAGTTAAAAGGAAGAAACAGCTACGATCACACATTTCTCCTAGAAGCACGAAGCCGAAAGCACCAGCCTGAAGATGACAATGAGACTTCGTCAGAACGTCACCAAGACACTTCCAATTTGACGCGGGGAGAAAACCTGAATAACCAAAGACCTACATACAAACATGCGCAAAAACCTCAGAATATATATATATATATATGTATAAATTTCTGATTTGAGTTCTGGAGGATTTTTTAAAATTATGCAGCATCTAAATATGTCAAACAAATTGTGAATGTTTTTGTGAGATTAACTTGTAAATGTAACTATAGATGGATATGATTACGTGGTTTTCCTTGTACCTTCTGTGCTTAGATAAAGATATCTAACAGATTGCCTTGAGCTAAAAAAACCAACACGTTGACTAATTTTAGAACGTGGAAGCAAAGCAGAATGAGTGCAAAGATATTTAAAGAAATGACATTATTGATGAATGCAAATACATGAAAAAAACTTGAAAATAGGAAATATACAGAAACTATGATGAATTATAACCAAATTATACCATTTTTAATTTTCAGCAGAGTAACGGAAGTAGTTTTTTTCAGTTAATATTACTACTGGCCATTGTAAGGATGGTCTCCACAATCTGTCTAGGGATTATAATAAATCAATCACAACAACAAAACCTTGATTTGAGCACTAATAGTTTAAGGTTTTTCACTCCTCAGAAATCACTGTATATTGTAAGTTAACTTTTTGCTCTGGATTACTCAATCACATAGAAATTTTATGGGTTTACTAGAAATTTAAGGTAAAGCTTAAAAGCACTTACTGTAAGATAAATCCCCTGAGTAGATCAGATATATCTTGTTAGAGACAATATGAGAAAATAAATTATGATTAGATGAATCTGCATAATAAGTAAGGCAATTGTCCTTTCTTGCCTATGAATGGGGAGTGCTGATGCTTTAAAAAGGTAGTTTTCAATATAGTTGTCAATACAGTTTTACAATATTGAATTCTTTCATTTTTGTGGCTCAGTTCTTAAGGCAGGTACAGTTTTTTCTTGTTTGTTTGGGCCACTTGTTGCAATTAGTCCTTAATATATTTTTATTTTGCTTTTAACTTGTTTTAATAACTTAACATTGTTTTTAAACAAGAATTTTATGTATAATTGTTATTTATATAAGTTTTGTTTTGGTTTTCTATAACAATCCAGTTGGTTTCCTAATGAGACTGTTATTCCGTTTGATCCCTGTTCAACTGTCTTATTTGCTCAGGAGTTCCTATAAAAAGGTTTTTTATATAATCTCTTACGAAACGTGTAACCCACTGAACGGCTGCTAGTCTGCCAAGTTTGTCTTTATTTATATACGACCCGTTTCTATAAAGACATTTCACAATTTTATCTTCCAATAGGTTTCTTCCCTCCCTCCCTCTCTTTCACTGCAATAAAGGCAACTGAATCCTAGTAGCTGTTGTGTCATAATTTAGTATTAACACACTCCTTCTCTGTTCGGAAGAAATCAAGCATCGTCATAAAGGTCTCATTCGGAGAAGTTAGGCGCATTGCTTTCCCTCGCCAAAAGGCACCACGTGGCACGCGCCCAGAAGCAGCCGGCGATCCGCTGCCCCTTTCAGAGGATGGTTCGAAAGAAAGGGCAGCGAACGATGTGGGTTAAAACAAATCCATTCTCCCGCGCAATCAAAGCCAACATTTTCGTCGCCAATTTTGCTTCTTGATTGACACATGAGCTTCCCCCACCCCGAATAACAGAACCCACGCTTTGCAAGCGGCGCTCCGAACTGTCTCCCACCGTAGTACCCAAATGCGCTTTGGGATGATAGAATTGGAGACTGCGCCCTCTCAAGCAAATGGGGAATCATTCCGGGGAGGGGAGAGTGGGGTGGGAGAAAAAGCGAGTCTTGTGGAAAAATTATCCCCACCTTCTTTCTCCGCCTCCTTTGCCTCTTACGCACTTACACCTCTTTCCCGCCGCAGTCACTAGAGAAAATAAACATTTTCCTGACGCCTTTCCAGAGTCTGGGCCAAACCATCCCGGGGGAGGGGCGTTTCTAGCGGTTTTTCTTTCTTTTTTAGGTCCAGGGCTGGGATAAAGTTTGGAAAAAGCGACTCTCCTCCCTCTCTTCATTCTCGTTCACCGGTCCGAAGGCTTCGAACGAATTGTGAGTTTTAGCGCACCATGTGGAGGGGGCTTTGAGGATAACCACGCGGGCCGCCGGCGCTCGCTCGCCTGCCTCTTCCCGGAGTCCTGGGCGAGCGGAGCGCCCTGCGTTCCTGCATGTCTGTGTGAGGGGAGGGGGGGGGAAAGGGAGACCAGCGCAGGCGCAACGCCCGCCCGTCTGCTTGCCTCCCTGCAGCCGGGGCTCCTTCGCTCAGTGCAGTTGATGGCAGTGCCGGCGCGCGCCGGGAGCGCAACGCCCCGGGGACCGGAGCCCAAGATGTGCAGGCAGAGCAGAGGCAGCGGCTGCAGCAGCTCCGGAGCTCGAAAGAGGAACGGGGACCGGCAGTGTCGTCCATCGCTCGTGGCAAGTCTGCTCTCCTGACTTGCCTGCCGCCCTTTCCCCCCCGCCCCTCCCGGCGCTCCCCCAAAGAATGTCAGCCAAGTCTAAGGGGACCACATCCTCCTCCTCCGCCACCTCCTCGTCCCTGTCCTCTCCAGCCGAAGGAGTGCCGCCAGCTTCCAAAGCCAAGGTGAAGGACCAGATTAAGATAATCGTGGACGATTTGGAATTAGTCCTGGGGGACCTGAAGGACGTGGCCAAGGAGCTGAAGGAGGTGAGAGAACCGCCAGCTGGGTGGCATGGCTAGGAAAGGAAGGCGAGTGACCCTCTGGTATGGATCGCCCGGGGTGAGCCCGGTCCTCCTGCCGCGCTTCCCGCAGCCCGGACTGCCCCAACTCCTGGGGAACTGTGGCCGAAGCGGCGGCGGCAGCGGCAGGAGTGGACCGGAATGCGCCAGACTTGTTACACTTTCGAGTCTTGCCTGGCCGCGTGAAATCAACTAGTGTCTCCCTCTTTGGTAGCGGGGGTGGACAAGCCCGCCCCGCCCCTGCCTTTGGCTTTCCACGGGTTGGCGAGCTGAGGATGCTCGCTTGGCTTCCTCTCAAACTGGCTCTTGGATCCGAGGCTCCGGAGAGGATGGGATCTAGACGCGGCGGCGCAGTCTTTTTTGCTTTCTTGGAGGTGACTAAGAGCAGAAAGGAGTACCTCCTCCAAGTTCGGGAGGGGGGCTTGAGACTGGCGGGGCGGGGGAGCACTGGATGCTTTCCCCATTGCTACCCACTCGTGAGTTGCTGGCAGGGGAGCAACAGCAGCAGCGAGAGTTGCGATTCTCCACCTCTTCCTATGAAGCCATGTGTGGGCATTTTTTGCCTTCCCCACCCAGTAACTTGGGTGTTAGGTTTAGTCACTGCATTCGCTGGCTACGGAGACGCTTCCTTTCCTGACAGCGGCGCCGCCGCCACTGAATGCCTTTGGCTTCTTTGCTGAGGGTGGTTACTTAATTTCACTTCTTTCTGTTGTGGATGTTATTTTAAGAGGTCGGGGGAGGTCGCAGCTTTGGGCCTGACAAATTTATTAGATTTTCTGTCTTTAGCAAGGAACGGATTTTCCTAGGATAAAGCAAGTAATCTAAATCTGAGGGATTATGTTGGAATTTAGGTGGGCCTGCTTGGATGCCAGATTTCCATTCTTAGGACCCAAATTATGTTCTGTTTCTTAGGGCGTGTTTGTTAGGTTTCTGTCAAAAAAATGACAAAGGCAATCTTCCTGTAAAAATTTCTAAATAAGAATATCATTCCTGAATTCCTAATCAAAGTCCATTTCACAACTATATTTGTCTTCCAGCTTTCCTCTTTTTTTTTCAAACTTCATGCTGTGGAGTGTTCCATATGATCTAGCAGAATTTGGCAATGCACTTTTGAGTCATTTTTAAATGACTTTTTCCAGCTTTTGGACCTCTTGTGCTGTGATGGTTAATAGGTTGTGATAGATTATGGAGTTTGCAGTGCAGTAGAAGCAGGAAAAGTAGTAGATCCAGTTATGTATGACACTTTCATACAAATTATATTCAAACATATATGGATATAATTAAAAGGTATCAGCAGATGCATTTTTATTTATCCAAACATGTACATGCTGATCTGACTAATGCTATGAGAAAGAGTAAAAGACCTGTCTTCCATTTCATGTTTAATATTATGTCTGTAATGTTTAACACCATGGAACTGAGTAGGACTAAATGATAAGAGCGAATTAGAATCAGTTGCAGACATAACTTAAGGCTTCATTAGGAAAATCTACAATTTGTCACAGGAATTAAGTCCCACTTAGCTCATAGTGTAGTCTGATATACAACTACTCAAATATAAAGCTCCTTGAATTAAATAAAATAGATCTTTGCCCAGGTAAGCAGATGGATGATATATAGCATCATGGAATGATTCTTTAATATAAATAAATATATATAGAGATTCACTGTACATGTACAGGGGAGTGGCAGTTGGAAGTGTATAAATATCATTTCATAATTTGAAAATGAAATTGCTGGAAAAAAATCTGAATTGTAAGGTTGTATCCCAGAATAAATGTTATATATCTGCTGGCCTTAGATACTGTAACTTGGGAACCAATATAATATATAACCTTTAGCCAGGCAAATGTCAACTCCTTTAGTTTAATTTGCAGAGAGAATTACAGGGGAGATGTTTTGTAGTAGCAAACACTGCAGTTTAAATAATGCAACTTATCTGTCCTTCTCAGAGCTTCTGCATTTCTTTCAGATGTTTAGTTTTAATTTGTTACTTTGTTTTGTTTTGCTGGTGAAACTGGTAGACAGATGTTTGGATTTTGAATGCAAGCTTGTACATATTCTTTATAATCCTTTACATTACATTATACAAGCCTCATTTCCTCTGTTTTCTAATTTGTAAGAGATTTTGTCTCTAAGAGATTGTAGATACAGTTTTTAATCTGAAAAACTTCGAATGATGCAGGAGTAACTTTTATATGTTAACCCTTCCTTAACCTTGTTGGATATTTTTCCTTGGCAAAATGTTTGTTATCCTAACTGAGAAATCTTAATGCACGTTTTAAATATGTGTGGTTGTCAGTTATCTTCATGTAAGCAATTTGTGCAATTTATTTTCTAATATTTAAATTTAACCACTAATTCTGCCAGAGTGTATATACATTTTAGCATCTAGCAACAAACCCTTGTTTTCTATCACATTGATGTGTTTTATAGTTTCCAATGGATTCTTTCTAGAAACCAAGCAGGATTGTTGTAAGTAGAAGTCACATGACATTTACTCTGACTTGGATCTATCATCATTGGCTACTTCCCTAAATCCAGTTGCAATAAATATGGCCTTTAGTGCTTGCAACCAGAAACTATTTGCTTCTAACTATGATAATTTTCATGGAAAGCTATAGTGTAAAAACATGTCAGGAAAATATAAAGCTTGAAATTATTATATATCTAAAAAAATATCTGCATCTAATCATATTGTTATTATTGCAGAAAGACAAAGGCCTATAAATTCTGCCTTGTCATAGACACACAATATCTCTTTGAAATTGCTAGTTTGTTCAATAAGTTATGTTGCAAAGCTGATTGAATGTTAAGCAAGCAGTGAAAAAATGTAGACTTAATATTAGCTTGTGTATTCATATGGTATATTTCATCTAATGTTCACTGTTCTTTTAAGGAACCCAGTCATGCAAATAGTATTCCTGAATGGCTTCCCATCCAGTCATCAGAGGCAGACTGTTTAGTTCAATAACTTTTAATATATAGTATGGCTTTACATCATGCCTCCAAAATTGGGTTTTAAACCAATGAAATCAATTTCTGAAAATTTGTTGGTCTTGTGTCTTTTAAATACAAAAATATAGTTGAATATACTGAAAATGAGGGCCCAGATTGTTGGGGGCAATGTGCTGAGTCTGTAAACCACTTAGAGAGTGCTGTAAAACACTGTGGAGCGGTATATAAGTCTAAGTGCTATTGCTATTCACTGTATCAGGGAGAGTATGGATGCTCCAAGGAAGGAGTACTGGTTGGTTAACTTAATAGCTATTTAATAAACCTGATAGAAAGTTACAACCATATAGAAGGGTAACTTTTTCTAAAAAGTACCTTCTAACAAAGGTAAATCCTATCTCTCAAAATTTTTTGAAAATATCAACAACTTTTGGAAGAGGTGACTCAGTAGACATTGCTTACATAATTTTCCAAACAATTTTAATTCTCACTACATGTTTCTGAACAAATTTAGGATCAAAATTAGAAATATGTAACCAATAAAAGAACAGAAATGAAGACTAGGAATATAGGAATGTTCTTAGAGTAAGTAGATTAAATATAGTATTCCCCTAAGACAGTGTTTCCCAAACTTGACAATTTTAAGGCATGAGGACTTCAACTCCCAGAATTCCACAGCCAGCAATGCTGGCTGTAGAATTCTGGGAGTTGAAGTCCACATGCCTTAAAATTGTCAAGTTTGGGAAACACTGCAGGGCTTAAGAAACTAAATTGAAATTGGTGTGACTTGAGTATGAATGGTTTGAAGTGAAGAGTTATGATTTGGGCCCGGTTGTTAATGACATCAAATGATTAGTAAGGTGACTATAACAAAGAGAGAAAACAGTTATAAATCTCTCTAAAGTAGAGAGTCAGCATTAATAAAGCAAATGCAATTCTTTTTTTTAAAGAGTACATTATGAAAACAAAATGAAATCCTAACTTTGTATTTATGACATTGATGGTGATTGACTAGAAAAAAGATCTCAGGTGGATGGTTTGAGGAAAATATTAATCCAAAATGTAAAAGTTGTGAAAATTTTCTAATTACAATGCTGCATATTCCTTTCAGTAAGGAAAAACATATATGTGAGATCCTCTTTAATTCATGTTCTGATTGTAGATTTCTAGTACCTTTTGGGCACCAGGGACTGGTTCTGTAGAGAGAGGTTTTTCTGCAGAGGGTGCATGGTTTTGTATGCTGCCTGCATCCCGTGGGTGTTGCTTTGCGTGTTTGTGCCCGGAGGTTGGGGACCCCTGTTCTAGTGGACATAGTAGTAGTAGTCGATCGGCACCAAATCCAGGCTATAGGGGAAGTGATCAAAAACATCCCAATGGAACTGCTTCAAAAATTCTTGGTTGTGTCTTGCGGTATGCCGGCAAGCATTATCATGAACCAACAACACACCAGAAGTGGTACCATAGAAAATTCCATCAAATGTGAAGATGCCAAAGGAGCACTATTGATGAAGTTCATGGAGTGTGGTTCAACCATCAGTTCAGAAGTCTACTGTGAAATGTTATGAAAACTCAGATGAGCCATCCATAACAAGCATTGGGGCATGTTGACTTCCGGTGTGGTTTTGGTTCACAATAATGCTCGGCCATGCACCGCTAGATGCACCCAAGAACTTGTGAAGCAGTTCCATTGGGATGTTTTTGATCAACTCCCCTTACTACTAGTAAGGAATTTCAAACCTTGTAAGATGTTATGACAAGTGCCTCAATTTGAATGGCGATTATGTCAAAAAGTAATGTAATGTTGTAGTTTTCTAATGTGTATAATAAAAGTTCTGTATCTGCAAATGTCTGTCATTGATAACCAAACAGAGATTTATTTCCGAATTGCCCTCATATCAACCTACCTTTTTCAGCAAGCAGCTTGAAGAGCAGCATTGTGTATCTTACACACATTGCATACTGCATAAATATGAATGAAAGCTTCTATTTCCTCCTTAAATGTAATTTTCTAT